TCCTACAATCATCTTATCCCTTAAATTTGAGGGGTCCATTTCTATCACAAACTAAAATGACAAAAAACTTACCGAGATGCCACGGCATCGCAGACGAGACGAGGAACAGTGGCGGATGGCTATAACAGGACGAGGCGGCGAACCAAGGGCGACGACTCAAGTGAGCGGGAGCTGTGAATGGGAGAAAGGGATAAAGGGAGAAAATATGAGAAGACAATCACAAATAGCTGGAAATAGGGCTTCCTCCAGCGGAATCTCCAATAATGTTTCCGTTATAAATTTTTGGGTAGACTAGCTGCCGGGAAAAAGTCATCGAGTTTAAGTAACCTGGCGGATATTCCACCAGCAGTTCCTCCTAAAAATTTCCAATGCAATTTTCGTCGGTAAATTTTGTCTGTTAAAACTGCAGCTTGCCCAACATATTGGAAGCCAAAAAATTACTGGCGGTATATCCGCCGGAAAAACTGCCAGAATATTTATGGCAAAAATTCCGCCGGTTTATCTGTCGATGTTTCCAGCGAACGCATTCCCATCAAAAATGCCGATGGAAATTACAATTTTTTTCTATAGTGTTTTTTCCATGTAATATCATTCACTCATTTGTGCTTTCATTTCACTTTCACATAAGAGATTATTCTACTTCTCAATTTACGAATATCACTTTCTAATATTTTTTCAGGTTCTTCAATATATGTCAAATCATTTTGTAGCTCAATTTATTTTGTGAACTCTTTGATTTTCATCTATAAGTTATTTTTTTAGCATTGATATATGAAAAATATTATGCACATCAAACATGTTTGCAGGTAATGTTAATTTATAAGCAACATTTATCACTCTTTCAATGATCTAAAATGGAACAATATATCTAGGATTCTGTTTTCCGCCTTAGCCAAATTTAGAAACACCTTTTATTAGTTTAATGTTTAAGAAAACTAATTCACCCACTTCAAATTCTATCATTTTATACTTAGGGTCATAGTATTTATGTTTCCAATCCTTAGTTACTTTTATTATCTCCAATTAATCTGGCTTTTTCAGTGGCTTGATCAACTAAATGCAGACCCAATAATTGTCTTTCTCCAATTTCAACCCAGTATTTATGTTGCCAACTACATTTTTTGTCATAAAATTCATCTGATGATGTCATATTGATACTCAATTGGTAGCTATTATTATAGGTGATCTATCAACGGAATATGATCCTCTCAGCTACCTCCAAAATTCAGCTTACAAAATTTCAGTAGATCTTCTAGCACTTGAATTAATCTTTATGATTAACCAATAGTCTGCAAATGAAATATGGTACTTAATTGCAATTTTATGCCCAAAATTTCATGAATACTCTTCTATAACTTAAATGTAAAATGGCAATCTCTGTCAGATATAATAACATTAGAAATTCCATGCAATTTGATGATTTCCTTCAAAAACAACTTAGCTAATTTCTCCACTGAATTAGTCTGACTGATAGGCAGAAAGTGTACTAATTTTGTTAATCTGCCAATCACAGCCCAAATACAGTCATGCCCTTATCGTGATATGGGAAATCTTGCAACATAATCCATTGGTTTATATTCTCACTTCTATTCTGTTATTGGTAAGGATTGCAACATACCACTAGGTTTTTTATATTCAGCCTTAACAGCAAAACATTTCTCACATTTTGCCACATATTCAGCTACATCTCTTTTCATTTCAGACCACAAAAATAATGCTTTTAAATCTTTATACATCTTTGTATTTTCTAGATGGATTAAATAACCTGATTTATGAGTTTCATATAAAATTTATTGAATCAAGTCTGATCCCTTTAGCGTCCACAACTGCATATTACTATTGATTCTTCCATGTTCATTTAAGATCCTTTCTTTTTCTTGATTTTCATTATTCAATAAGTTTCTGATATTCAGAGGTAGTCTATTTAGCCTCACTAATTTTTTTCCTCCAAGGAAGGATCAATAGTTATTTGATTTAAGCTATATGAATCATGAGCACTCTGCATTGTGGCTTCTAGCAGTAATGCTTCCATATCTCTAATTAACTCTTTCTCTTGAGTTAAGATCCAATTTACCTGTCATCAAAATTTTCTTCTTAAAACACCAGCCATTAGATTAGCCTTATCTACACAATAATGTATGTTAAGATTATAATCCTTTATCAATTACATCCATCTTCACTGACTTAAATTTAATTCCTTTTGAGTGAAAATGTATTTTAAATTTTTATGATCTATGAACATTTCACATCTCACACTAAATAAGTAATATATCTCAATTTTTAAAGCAAAAACAATTGTAACAAATTCTAAGTCATGAGTGGGATAATTCTTTTCATGAAGCTTCAACTGTCTAAAAGCATATACAATCACCTTTTCATTTTGCATCAAAACTCAACTCAAACTTTTTAAAGAAGCATCACTGAATAATTTATTTGAGTTTTTGTTGATATGTTGTTACTTGGAATAGTGAGATCGATCAGAATCTTCAAGTTTAGTCTTATTTGTGTACCTTTGTTTTGTAAATTTGTAGTCAAAAGTATAGAGAGATAGACTGATGTATTAGAACTTCTAGCTATTGTAAATGAATTTTGATGATTAATGAACATATATGAAATATTTGATGTACATCGTTGATTCCGTTATTTTTCATTAAAGAAATGAGATTACTGGCTCTAGAAAAGTAATAAAAAATTAAATAGATAATTCTTTTAAATTTAGGCCATGGGACATCAAAAAGGTGATGGTGAGGACTAGCTCCCTATGCTAGCTCTCTATTACCACCACTGCAAGGTGAAGGGGGTAGAAGTTGTTGGGCTTGGGTACTATAGTAAGTGCGAGAAGAAAAGAGAAAAAGAAGTAGGAAAAGCTATTTCATGTGTCCATCCAATAAGGCGTTCAAATCATCATTATTTATCATCTCTTTATTCCAAGTAACAACATATCAAAATAAACTCAAATAAATTAGTAGTCAGATTGAAACAAAGTTTAATGAAAGATTATTTTATATGAGGGCCTAGGATGTTGGGAAAAAAATAATCATGTCAATTTTTCGTAGTTGAGAGGAGCCTTATCAAACTTTATATCTTTTTATGAAGATTATTAAGTTAGCAATTCATAGGCATGTAAATAAGCCAAACATGAACGAGCTTAATATGTGTTCATATTTGACTTATTCATTATTTGTTTGAATTCGACTAATGTTTCCAATTATTTGTAAATAATACGTTCACATTTGATTAGTTCAAAGTCAAACTAGTTTATTTGGCTCATATTCAACTCAAATTTGGCTCAAATTATAAAAAAAAATAAATTTTCAAGACTACTTAGATTAAGCACACACAAATAATTAATGCTTATATATTAAGTTAGACATTTAATACAAATTTAAAGTACATATATTATTTTTATACAAAATGATCGAGTAGATGATGATCAAACATAAGCCTATTTATGTTCAACTTGTTTAAAAAATGAGCTCAAAATATATGCCCAAGCTCGGCTAATTTTCATAAGTGAGTAAAACACAAGCTTTTTAGCGAACTGAACACAAGTTGTTTGCAAACAATAAGCTTTCATGACAGCTCTAGGTACACCACACACGAACTATATTATTCAAATCAACATTTCACATATTTTTCATAGCAAGCATGCTCTAGAATTTTAAATTATCCATTTGTGATAGTTTATATGGTATATTCCTTCTTGGGGATTAAAGAGGTACATTGATAATTGCAATGGATATTGATGTAAATAATGAATTGCACAAATTTTTTTAGCATTGAGTTTGAGTTGAATGAATTATAGCATTGGTTGATTGGTTCCCACCCTTTTGCAAGATAAATTAAGTATATCTTATAACAAAGTCATCTATGCATCCTCTTAGGAATCGAGAAATTCTTCCATGTGATGCACATCTCAATTGCTCAAGACAACTTAGAGAGAACATTAAGGCCTTATGTAATAAGGCATTGTTAGATGAAAATATCTTCCATGTGCAGGCATACATGATCAATCTTAAAAAACAGGAGAATATTCACAATTATGAGAATATAAAGCATAGCTTCTTAAAAATAAGCTATACTCATTGAAGATCTCTTGATATATTTTAGGATCCTTAAAATAACATCCCATTGTTTCTTCATTGAATTTTGCATATGTTAACAAACCACACACTGTGTCTTCAACTCTTCATGACTACCATTAAATGATTTCCCCAACCTCTATGAAAGATCATAGAAGAGCTAGAGCTAGAAGTTACTATTATATAGAGGACAAGAAAGATGAGATGGGAGCAAGAAGTTAAGCCAAACCCTGAGTGTTCAAGCCTACTACTACTCGAATTATAGAGTTGCTAATCTAATATTGCATTAAGGAATCTTCATAGCGTTTCTTCCTCAAATGAATGATTTTTTTTTAGGGTATTTGTCTCCATTTATAAACTAAGATAAATTGTACCATACAAGTGTGATATAGCCAATAGCATGGTTTGACAATAAAATGATTGAAATAAATGGCCAAACGATTCAACCATGATTAGCAAGCCCAAGCTAATGAACATCTCCATGAATAAATAGAAGGGGCTCCACGTCAATTATACCCAAGGTGCCTATATAAAAATAAAAAATAAAAAAAAATAATTAAAAAAATTGGGGGAAAATAATGACATTTGAGGTTATTATGGGGTTGTTTGGTTGAAGGAAAAGTGAATGCAAAGTATAGTTAATGATTTGCTTTTTCATTTTTTGGTGTTTGGTTGGACACGAAATAAAGTAAATTTCCAATGTATTCGTAACTCCCCGTGTTAGTTCATTTTCCATGTAAAACGAACCCGCTCAAAACCGATCTAAAAAGGAATTCCATGGGCAAGAGAGAGCAGCCCACAGAACAAATTTTTGCTTCTTCCTCCTTCGACGGGAACCATTGTTAGGGTACCCACGAGTAGAGACCTCAGCCTCTACTGCCTTTCGTCTATGAAATCATGCCCTTCCTCTTTCATTAGCTATGTTGCGCATGCAAGGGCCTGACGATCCATACGATTCTTCCGATTCACCCATATCTGCTTCAACGCGGCATATGGAGTTGGCCTGATTGAAGCGGCGACATGGATGAGATGCTCCTTCATTGCTCCGAGGTATGCCTTTCCACTTCGAAGCAACGCAATGTATGTCACTCCGTGCAGAAACCTGGAGTCGCAGGATGGTCAAACCACCTCATGAGGGAACCTGGAGCTGCAAGGTGTATCTTCTATGTTTTATTCTTCTGGGAATGTTAAACCGGCTGGTGATCAATTGGGGGACTTCAATATGGAAAATAAATTCAATTTGGGAATAGGCATACTAGGTGCTCAATTGAATGCCTCATCCAAATGGGCCTCTCATTTTACTTTACATACACCCAACCAAATAGAAAAAGCAGTTCCCTTGCATCCACTTTACAGACAACCAAACAGCCTCAAGTTTTTACTTTACACTGCATTTACTTTATATTGCATTCACTTTATAGCCAACGAAACAAACTCTGTGTAAAAAATAAAAGTAAGAATGAGCATGCATAACTTCTTTGATGTCCTTCCTAAGGAGCTCCTACATGTTTTCATGTTTTATAAGTGATGCCTATTGCACTTTGTTTTATGATAACTTATTTCATGTTGGCCTTAAGAACATATTGAAGCTTACCCTTGAGTTTTATTTAACATGCCATGCCTTTAAACTAAGTTATATCATACTTGTTATCTAAATTTGGGCATCATATAGACAAGGACGGAGATGAAAGTGGTTAAGCAATAATAAGTATAAAGATTTGTTGGACCAAGTGACACCTAAAAGTGTTTTGCTCTGACCATTTTCCTTCCTCAATCTTTAGATGGGAAGATTAGACCTTTTTCTTGCAAATGTTTTTATGTTTTTACTTCATGATGTAATGATGTTTGTAGAATGCTTGTGGGCCCAAGGCCATCTTTTGAACATAATGAATCTTTTTATTAATGTTGAGTAATTATTTTCTCGCCAATTGAATATCTTCTTGCATAAACCAGAAAATTTTCATTAGGCATACCACTTTTCATGTTTCATTATTCCTAAATGCTTTAGTCATGCAAGGTAATTTCCCAATAAGAACTACTTTACAACCTCACTAGCATGCTTTTCTTCTCATCCAAGAAAAGTCTTATCTACTCCGTAATGATTCAACCTCACAAAAAACCTCTTTGCACGGTTTAGGAGCATTATAAATTAGTTGCCTCTAACAAATAAATTCACATACTTCATCATCGATAACATGAGTGGCCATAAAACTATCTTTCATTGGGTAACAACAAATAACATTCACATCAGTTGAGCCCTCCATATTTAAAGCTCATTGAATCCTTCTTTTTAGAACAAATAATGGGGTATTTAATAGTACTTGAATCGATACATGGCAACCTACAATATATGATGGCGTGAAATCTTTTGTTATTCTCAATTCGCAATCATATTAGGGCATTTAATTTTGCCAGTTTCTTTCTCATTTTATTTATTTTAGCAAACTAATCTAGAAAATAAAGACAACGGCATTACTAACTTGCATTATTGCAAACCTCATATGAACTTTTGCACTCATAATAGAATAAGAATAATATAATTAAGCTTTAAAAATGACATGCACTTACAATAAAGATAAAATATCCAACCTTACATTTTGTTGGAAAATTAAGACACAGACTTATGTCAAGGTTGTACTACATGAAGAGAGCATACAACAAAAAAATTGATAAGAAAAACTTGGTGTGGCAATAATATAATTAAGCTTTAAAAATGACATGCACTTACAATAAAGATAAAATATCCAACCTTACATTTTGTTGGAAAATTAAGACACAGACTTATGTCAAGGTTGTACTACATGAAGAGAGCATACAACAAAAAAATTGATAAGAAAAACTTGGTGTGAAGCAAGCAAACGTTTGCTTGCAAATTATGAGAAATTTATTTTGACTTTTTTCTTTTTTTTTTACCATGAAAAAAGAGAAGACAAAGGGAATAGGGAGCAAGGATTGAAAGTGAATGGGAAGAAATACTGCAAAAAAATTGTTCTAATAGCCAGCTTATGCGTTCAAAACATGGTTAAAGCATCAATAGGGGTGGAGTGACGCCTATGGGGGT